GAACTATATTGCTGTTTCTTTACCGCCACCGATCGAGATCTTGGAACGCCTTTCCTGCCAGCAGCGTAGGTATAACTGCACCAGCTAGATTAAAGCAGGATATGGGGTGGCTGAAAGGTGATTAGGCATCAGCAACAGATGTAGTCTCATCATCAATACCTACATCCTGTAAATGAAGGAAATAACATCACTGGGATGTAATGAAAACCTATTACTTTCTTTTGGTGTCACAAATTTTTTAAGAAAGTTTTCTGTAATATGGTTATATATGTATATTTAATACATTATTTAAACCCATCTATTTCAGAAAGCTATTCCGTACATTACTTGTGATGTACCATTGTTCTAGTTTACCAGTACATTTATAAAATATTTTTCTCTTCACTTTAGGGAATAGCTGTCCCAGCAATGACAAAAAGGTTCTCTGCTCCAGTGACATGTCCTACATCAACTGCTTTAACACCAGGAAAATCAAAATTACCAGCAGGATTGCCAGCGACTCCTATCCCTGGTACAGTACCTGCTTACATGCTGCCTCTGTGCCAGTATGGTGGCATGATCCCAGCACCGCTTTATGGTGTGCAATGGCCAGGTGTCTCAGGTCCAACTTCACAGCCTGGGGTATTCAATGCTCAAGGAATATCCTCATTTCCATCTCTTAGCAAAGGAGGCATGCAGATGTTTCCGGTACCACTCCAAAAACCTATTATAAACCCATCTGGGTCCAACATGAGGACTACCTAGCTTTGTTGTGAAGAATTTGAGATAATAAGGACATGGGGTGGGGTGGGGGAGAGGGGAGGGAACATTTTTGAGAACAGTTTAACTGCTTTCTTTATAAATACAAAATTAAATATACTTGATTGTAGCTGAATACTATTGGCAGCCAGGGTGGGCTTGCTAATGCACATAGCCATACATTGCAATGAGCAATCACTGTGAAATATTTTCACAAAGCGTTGCTGAAAGCTAGATAGTTCTTGGGTGATAGTTGCATTTGTCTTGCAATTCGGACACTTTATATTTTGCTTTGTACGTTTAACACTAGTAACCTTAAACCGGGTTTAATTAACTTGAATGGATATTG